CTGGTTCAGCAAGATAATACAGCTGGCATCCATGGGGAGTCATGTTTAGCAGGCATAACTGTTTTGAAAAGGTTTGTGCAATTTGGGAAGAGGTCTTAGAATATTTTAGTAACTAAATTATTACTCCTTGAACACTTCTCTTTTCTCCCTCCCTCTTCCCTTCTTCCTTTTCTTTTCCCTTTTATTGCTTATTGTTTATGACAAACAGGTAGGTACACATTTAGTGGGGGAGGAGCGGGCCTGGGCCCGAGGAGGGGAAGGAGACCTGAGCCCAAACTGGGGGAGAAGCCAGCCCACCTCAGCAGTGGGGTATAGCAGCAGGCCTAGCCCAACATGGCAGTGGTAAGGGAGGGGAGAAGCGAGCATCTTTCCCCCCTTGGACACAGGCCCCCTCCTTCTCCCCCTCTTCCCCCCCTGTCAGCTCTGAGCCCACTCCTCCCATTTTCCAGGTTGACCTAGGCCTGCTTCGCCCCCAGCTCGGGCTCAGTCCTCCTTCCCCCTGCATGGAGCCTGGGCCCCCTCCTCTTCCCTACCCCCACCACCACTGCTGCCACCATGGCACACCTGCTATTTCCCCAACCTGTGTTGGGCCCACACCTCCCCCACACTGCCACCGCGTCATTCCACATCAGGCCCTGCAGTCAGATGCCACTAAAGGGGAGAGAGGCAGGCCGAGCCCAAAGCCGTGGCCTGGCCCCCCCATGGCATCCCAACCCGCTCCCCCCCACACCACCACTGCCGTCACCTGCAAGGAGTAAGGGTCCCCCCTGCTTCATCCTTGCCACTTCCATGGAACAGGGCAGGGGGGGTGAAGCCTCGCCCCCCAATTCTGTCCACTCTGTTGTCCCCATCCCCTGTGTCCCCACCATCCTGGTGGCGCTCCACCAGCTGCCAGCTCCTGTTGGAACACTTGTTCGAACTCTGACTGGCTGTTTGTCAGCCAATCAGAGCACGAATTAAGTGTTATGGACAGGCAGACAGACGCACAGAAAGACTTAAGCTTTTATAATATTAGAATTATACACAAAATATTAAAACATAAATGTAAATTCTATCTGTTCCCTACATTATTTAAAAGATACCAAAATCTGGTACCATTTACCTACTGCATTATGGACAGTCAAACTTCAGCACGAACACTCAAATCTGCTACGATTTTTTTATCCTGATACCGACTTTTGCAAAAGTATGTCTTTAAAGCAGCATTATTAACCCCTTCATCAAAAGTGTTCAGTCTTTATGCTTGTTTCCATCATCCCTCTTTGCACTGATTATCCAAATAAAATATATTGCTTGCTTCAAGTGTCCATGTTTAATATGATAAATGAAATTTATATGATATGAGGTATGTTTTTTTGTGAAGCAGCATAAGTTTCGCAACCACAAAGCATTCCTTCATGTACTTGTTGTGTGCTTGTTATAAGCATTCTCCCTGCTTATAGCAAGTACTCTAAACTAATGGCTGTATACCAACCAAGCAAGGTGGATAAGTAAAGTAAAGATGGTATTAGCAGCAGAACTTACAAGAACATCCATGTCATGGCTTGTATTAGCAATGAAACATATAAGAACATCAACTTCACAGCTGGTATTAACAATGAAATGCATGAGAACAACTGAGTCTGTATGAAACAAATCACTGAACTTAACACGGCCCAAGTCAGGGGTGTCAAACTCATCTAGCCACCCGAGCCAACTGAGGGTGGCTGAGCCAGTCTGCAGGCCAGATCAGGACCAACCCCCTGTGCAGCACTGGCCCTGGGGTTCAGTGTGCATACAGCACTCAGGGCTGGCAGATCATGTGCTGCCCACAGCAATTGGGCTGTACCAAGCACTGCAAGCAGCACAGAGGGTCAGTCTGGGTCACACTGTATGCAGCACCCTGACAGACCAACCAGCCCTGCATGCTGGCTCCAGCATGACCCAACCTGGACTGGCCCCAGAGCCAGCACACAGGACTAGTCTGATGGGGCTCTGCATGCAGCACATGCCCTAGACCAACCCCCTGTGCTGTGAGTGCTCAATATAAATGCCTTCCCACATTAGCTACGATGGAGATTACACTAGATAGCTAACTAATCTGCTGTTCCTTTCTCCTCCCCATGCATATCTACCTTCTTCAGTCAGATTTATTACATATAAGTTGTTCTTCATTCTTCAATATAATCTTCCTTTCCAAATGGCAAATTTTTACCCCAGTTCTTTTCTTCAGCTCCTATCCATTTAGTTATCATCATAGCAGCCACCCCATGAAGAAAAAAAATTGTAATTACTTTAACCCCAAATCTTACTTAATTCAATCACCTTCATGTTTCCATGCCTATTTCTTATTGCTGTAGAAGAATCCATCAAAATAACAGGATATGTAACATAATATATCCTTACTGAATTAAGTCCTAACTCCATTTCACTTCCACAATATTTCATTTACAGTCCAAACACAAATCGTGTCAAAACTGGAAAATAATCCCATTTCCTTGAAGAAATCCATTTAACTTTCAGCTCTAGAGATGTTAAAATAAGTTTAGAGAAAATACAAAGAGAAAAAATGAAGTCTAAATTTTTCTCCCTTATTACTAGCCCATTATGAAAGATTCTGTATCCTCACTAGAGTCCAAAATCTGATATCAATGAACTCATAGAAGTTCTATGAAGAGTCAAGCCATGACTTGGACTCTAAATTCTGAATGTGTGACAAGAAACAAAATTACTTGTGACAACACTGCTTGGTTATTTTCATTAATTTAACTTGTATGAATCAGAAAGCATTGTACACAATGCCACATCTAAATTATTATCACAGGGAAACCACATTGAAGAAAGAAATGAAGGAAAAATTCAGATGTGCATAAAGATTATGTGTAAAAATATTTCACAGCCGAGGTAGATTAACTCATGTTACTCATGAAAATATATTTTCTTTGCATATTATGAACTTCCACACGAACAGAGATTGAAAAGATTAGGGCTGCTAGGCTTAGAGAAGAGGGGAAATTATAGGGAAAATTAAATTGTGCAAAGCCAGTATATAGTGAGTATTGCTCTCTCTTAAAGAAACCTAATAAGATTAGAACTTGATAAAGCAAATACTTTTTTATACAACATATGCTCTAGTGGTAGAGATACAAGCATCAGTGAAGTCAAGAGCATAACAAAAATCAAAGATGGTGACTTATTTACGTATAGTTGAAGTGGATAATAAGAATATCCATAGTTACATTAGACAGGACACAAAATTTATAACGCAATTTATACAATTCACATATGCAGCATGCCATGTAAACATTAACCAATAGGTGTTAGGAAAAAATAGCCCTTTATACTGGTATTATTAGTAAGCTTTATATCTTAATTATTGTTGACTAAATTTCTTGCATTTTCATCTGAGGCATCTGGCACTGACCACCATCAGAAATGGTGTTTCAGATTAAATGTGCCACTATGAAAATTTTCAAGGGCATCTTTACACATGCTCTGGGGTGGGGCAGAGAAGGGGCATTTTAATTAGCGGAGCTCCTGTAGCGTCTCATATATTCAACATCCTGCACTTCAAAATGGCAGTGGGAGAGCTTTAACTAAAGCTTGTTTGACAAGCTTTAGTCAAAGTGCCCCTGCTGCCATTTTGAAAGCTGGGAACACTGCATACATGTGACACGAAAGTTGCTGGAGCACTGGAGCAGACTTGATTAATCGAGTTTGCCAGACGCGTTCTAATTAGATTAATCAAGTTTGCTCCGACACATTCTAATTTCCTCCCTAGTAAATGCAAATAGATATTGTAAGTCTTCAAATGGGCTCCCTTTTCCATAAACCTGAGGATGTCTTGGAAGGACTGGATGACAGCAGGGAACACCAATGCCACTGACTGGGGAACTAGCTCACAGGTCCTATGCAAGAAATCTAAGGGATTAAGATGTTGCTGTCCCCTTGGCCTGCAAAGCTCTCAATGAGGTAAAAAATACTGTGCCAAACATAATGAGGCAGGACTACAAGTCTATTTAAAATCTTAACGTCACGTTTGATTTGCATCATTTCAAGTTTGAGTTGAAACTCAGAGCTCAGTGGGCGCATCTACACACGATATTAAGGCAGCTAAATAAACTCTTGCACACTTCGTACTAGAGTTGAGTGCTTCCAAATACAGTGTCTTCACATGTACTGGGACCACAGCACAGTGAGTTGGAGCGGCACAGCCGTGGCTCACAAAGGGCTTAGGGGGTCAGTCTGCCAGCCCAGGGCTGCTCCCCCCAGTTCAACATGCTGCAAAGAGGCTGGCTGGGGCACAAGGGTGGAGCTAGCCAGGAGGCAGCACCCACACTTTTGCAACCTCATGCCCCAGCCAGCCTGGTCCCCAGCTACACAAGCATTGTGACAAACTACGTTGTTGTTTGGGTGGAAAAACAAACTACTATTAAAATTATATGCAGAAGTTTTATATGAGTAGCTTCATCAAACAAAACTAAAGGTTATTAGTAAAACTGCTTATTTCTATAGGTACTATTGGGGTTTTTTATATACATTATAAATGTTTGAGTGCCTACCAAACATTCTTCAGTTATTTAATGCTAAAATTATGGCTGTTCTTTGGTGCAAAGGATGAAATTGATGACATTTTACCTAGAGTCTGTTCAGAATAGATCCTCAAAATAGTTCTCAGGGTTTTAAGCAATTTAGAGACAGGATAGGTATCTCGACAAAATTTGTACTTAACTTTTCAAATATTATAAAGAATGTATGTTCTTTTGAAAGCTTCTATTAACATCTGTTACAGAAGGAAGCTACTAGTTTTGAGATATAATTGGCCAAGGAAAACTAAACAAAGATGGGAAGCGTTGAGACTGTCAATTTTTTAAAGTACAAAAAAAGCCACTTTAAAACACTTGACACCAGATCCATAATTTAAAACTCTGTGGACACTACACAGTATAATTTGCTGAACACTGTTTTGAAAATAAAGCCTTATATATTTTTGTTATGGATGTGGAAATTAACAAAGACTTACAGGGCATCCTGGAAGGTCACCAGCCTGGTATTCTTCATAAGTAACTTTTTTGCTGGGGCAGTGAAATGACTTGACCAAACAAGAAAAAGCAAGAAAATATTTCTGTTTTATGACAATATTAATATAGCTTCAGTATATTTTCTATATTGCATGCTTAACCAATGCAACTATCATGTTTTCTTACTATACTGGGATTCCCAAGGGGCCTGTTCTTGGTACAAATGTTATTAAATATATTTCTCCTTCACTTAGGTCAGTGGTTCCCAAAGTTTTGCCCCTGAAGGGCCATTTCAAAGAGACAGTTCTGGGTGGCAGGCTGCATCAAAAAGGCTTGCAAGCCATATTTGGCCCATGCGTCACACTTTAGGAGCCCCTAGTCCAGATAATGATATAAAATATTTGATGATAAACTTTATAGAAAGCAAAAAGATTATGTAAGAAATAATGGCAAAGCACAGGTTATTGTCATTACTTGGTTCTGAAATTACTAAGATCTGAAATTACTTGGTTTAATTGTCACAAAGTAACAAACCACATTTTAATAGATCTAAATGCAAGTTGTACAAACAAGGAGGTCTAAATTATGATGCCCTTCAACCCACAGGGGTAAATCCCTGTTTATCAAAGTGCTCATAATCCCTGTTTATCAAAACATACGAACAAGAGTGACTGTGTTCCATAATCTAGCCCAGAAGTTCCCAACCTTGGCTCACGACCCAAATGTGGGTTGCAGGGGCAATCCCAGGGGCAGCGCACACAAAGGACAAGCCACGCCGCATGCCAGGAGCTACCCCGCCCATGGACCGCCCCCACCACACTCCACTCCCATCAGCTAGTTGTGGCGAAAATGGTTGGGAACCACTGATCTAGCCAATGCATAGAAGAAATCCCTGATATTATGCATTTAAAATATTTTTTTAAAAGCCTGACACTAAAGAAGGAGACCAAGAATGAAAGGCTGGGACCAATAAGCAAACAAGTAAGATGGAAAGTGACTCTGTAGACCAGTGATTATGGAACTCAGTTGGGAGGGAAGAGATCCAGGTGATACTCCCAAAGCTATATCTATCTGTGTTTAACAAATTACTATTTAATTTAAAATGTATAAAGCATCCTGGAAATTGGAAAAGGAACTCAAGATTCTTCCCAGGGAACAGTATGGTTCACTAGACAGCCAAGTCACACTGCTTTTTGCTTGTTCTCCTCCTTGCCCGAGGACTCCTGAAATCTTGCAGGAGTATCCCTGAATGCAGGAGTATCCCTCATTCAGCCTATGGCATAACTGTTAATTAGGATGTCTATACATGTGCTCAGGGGTGAGAAGTGTTTATTTAGAGAAGTTCCTGGGGGGGGCTGCTCTAATTATAATGCCACAGAGTCATACGTATTAAGTCTCTGTGCTTTTAAAAATAGCCAATGGGATACTTTAACTAAAGCTCATTTGATGAAGCTTTAGTTAAAGCACCCCAGCGACCATTTTTAAATCCACAGGGGCTTATACACGTGACAGTGTGGTGATGATAGAGTTTTCTAATTAGAATGCAGAGCAGACTCAATTAATCAAGCATGCTCTGATGTTTTCCAATTAGAACACATCACAGCACATGTATAGGTACCTTAAAATACTCTCCTGGAGAGTGGGGCACATGGATTTGAATCCATTCAGGTTGAGGGGTCTGATAATACAGTTTCTCACTTCCAGGGCAAGTGCTCTATCCATTAGGCAATATTGCGAAGTAGGTGGGCAGCAACACTACCAGGTGCATTTCTGAACTGGAGTCAATGCTATTAGTGCAAGACAGGAATGCTGAGAACACACACTAATGGATCAGGTCCTTCCAGTGATTTGGTGAGTCCTGAGCACTAATCTGGACTGCAATGGTCCCTTGGAAAACGTTTGGTGCCCAGGTAATCAAAATGGATCACTTCAGATTTTTGCAGCCCAAAATGAAGGTTCTCCCCTGCCTTAGATACCTTCCACATTTTATGTTTTGTGAAGCAGGACTAAACTTGAGTACTTTTTAGGTCTTTTAATAGGAGAATTTTTACACATGCAGCACACCACAGCATTGGGTGCTTTGAAAAGTGCCTGGTGCTGCATCGCTTGCAATTGTATAAGCAGCAAAATGCATGTCAGCAAACAGAAATGGCAGTGGTCCACTTTTGAACTAAAACACACAGAAGGTGTTTTAGTTCAAAAATGCACCACCACCATTTTCACTGCGCTGATGCACATTTTGCCGCTTATACAACTGCAAGCAATGCAGCACCGTGTATGTCAGCTCACGTCTGGAGCAGACTTGATTAAGTGAGTCTTTTGCGATGTGCTGGATCTCTGGCGCGTCCAGGCATGAAAATGTATGTGTATAAATGTCCTGGAGTCTAAATTCCACCTACTCTCATTTAGACACCTACACAAGGAAACCAAATCTGCCCCTTAAATGACTATTTTCTTGAACTTAATTAAAAGGATCAACAAAACAATATATTTAGTAAGAAATGAATGATTATGTTTTTCATAATTGTCTATATTTATCTACTTGATATTAACAACATCCAGATCAAAATATAAATTATTAGAGAAGTCTTATAGATGAACACTATTACTTTTATCAAACTGCGAATGTTATAATATTTCATATTTTTAAAATATTGATAATACAAGAGAATAATAAAATGTGCTGTGAGTTACTGAATTCATTTGATTTTTAACTTACTCTTGATTTTTTCTTCCTGGGTTTTCTTGAAGATTGGGAACCACCATATAAGCTAAAATACAAAGTAAAGTTATCCTCATGTGAATATTTGTCAATTTTAAACTAAAAAGTATTATTAGCTATTATTTATTAATATTTGTATTATTATTCATGACAGCCTTAGATGCTGAAGTCCTCCTTTCATTCATTGAAAAAGTGTAGCTTGTGCATTATTAGATGAATAATAAATTTTAATATACTTTGTAATATGCTCCACTGGAATATTTTCTGTGCTTACCACTAGCTCTCTGCTGGTTAGAATGTCAGACTTCCTTCTTCTGCCCAAGGGAAGGGAGCAGTGAGACACTGGTCCTCTTCCTTGGATCTCTCGAGTACATTTTAACAAAACACTTCCTGTCCTTGCAGTGGCAGGACACTAACCGTGCCCACTACTTTGCCTGTGGCAAGTTAGTGTTTAGATGTTTTTAGCATTGTGCCTGGTATTTAGGCAAGAGGGGGGTTGTACAGTTTTAAGAATTTACACAGGCATGATTCTGCCTTGATCAACGGCTTGGACTCGATGACCACTTAAGGGCTCTTCCAGCCTCATTTTCTTTGATTCTATAATTTAATATTTTGATTATGTTTCCCCTTAGAAGAGGACATACAAAGAACATAAAGCTGTTTATTAACTGGGGGGGGAAAAGCTTTGCCTAAGCCCTAGCCTAGAAGCAGATGTGTAAGTGTTGATTCTTACTTGCACCCATAGACAAGAATCCCATCTCATCTCAACTCATCAGCATGCTAAACCAGGTCTCAGCATGTGATAGCCATGTTATTATGATAGTCTTGTTATTTTTTGCATAGCAGGTAGCGTATTTTAATCTTCATTGTCAGTCTTGAGTTCACAGGCCCTGGCAGACGTTATACCTAAGATGTGATTAATCTGTTAATAGCATATTAAACGGTAACCCAGCCATATGTTCAGGAGAGTAATGGCACAAAAGAACAAGAAACCAGCCACAAAAAATGTTCTATGAAATATGTGGAATATTTTTGTCGCTGGTTTCCATCAAGCCTTAAACTGAATGCGTAGCATCCAACCTGATGCTAGCTAGATGATGGGGCTTGGTTGACAGTTCCCATCCCCATGTCAGCAGACTGACAGCCCTGCGGCACAGCCCTGCATAGGGTTGCACTCCTGTTGACGGAAGCTCATAAGCTTGGCTTCCTGAGACCCAGCAAGTGGACTGCCTTGCCCTGAAGCTCCCAGAGACCCAACAACTTTCCCCAACAACTTCCCCTCCCTCAGCCTGGGTAGGCGGGGGCGGGGGAGGGGGGACAGCAGCAGAGGGGCAAGGGGCACTGCCAGCCCCACGCAACACACTGCAGTGTTTCCCTGCCCTGCACCTCGACCCACTCTGTGCCAGCTCCCAGAAGCAGGGCTGCGGAGGCAAGGGCAGCGGTGCCCCTCTGTGGGCGTCACACGTACCGCCCAGCCAGAGGGGTGGGAGGGATTCACACAGCAGCCGCCACCACCACCACCACTGCACCGCCACTACTGCACCTCGTGCTACTTGCCCACGGTCGACAGTGGGAAAGCCGCATGGAACATGGTGGTGTGGTGTTGGCCACTGAGTGTGAGCCTCCGCTGCCCCTGTCTGGGCGAGCATGTGCAGCTCGCTGAGGGGCACTGCTGCCCTCACCCCTCTGGCCTTGCTCTGGGTAAGCGAAGTGGGGCACAGCAGCAGCAGTGCAGTGCTGCTGGCATGCAGTGGCCACCACTGTCACAATGCTGCCGCCACACTGCTGACAGAAGCTTCCCCCACACCACACCTCTGCTCACATGGTGGCAGCCGCCAACACCACTACACTGCCACCACTGCACCCCGTACCACTTCCACAGAGCAGAGGTGAGGGCAACAGTGCCCCTCTGCAGGTCTCAGATGCCTCCTTGCCCAGGGGGCCTCGCACGTGGCGGTCACCACCACACCACTGTGTCCTGCGTCCCATGCAGCTTTCTCGCCATCGGCCGCAGGCAAGTGGCACAAGGTGCAGCAGAGGCAGTGCAGTAGTGGCAACAGCTGCCATGTATGAGCTCCCCCTCCCCACCCAGCCAGGCAGCACGTGTATGGCCTGCATAGAGGCACTGCTGCCCTCGCCCCCCCGGCCCTGCTCCTGGGAGCGGGCACAGAATGAGCTGAGTTGGGGAGCTGGCAGTGCCCCTCTGCCGCTGCACCCCCTGGGCATGCTCTGCTCCCCCCACCCCCCTACCTGCCCGGGCTGAGGGAGGGGAAAGTTTTGGGGAAGCCCCACCAGGAGTGCCTGCCAGCTGGCAGGCAACTCCATGTCTTCCCCCAACACATCCTCGCTCCCGCAGCCCCCAGCCAGCTTACCCCCCCAGCCCTGCCTCTCAACCCCCAAGCCCCACTTACCTCCAGGAATGAAGACTGATCCTCCTCCTGAGGCAGCCTCCAGTAAGTGATTGCACTGGGTCCCTCCCTTTCCCCCTCTCCCTCCCCATCCAGGCAGGGCTGGTGCTCTTTGCAAAATGGGGAAATCCACAGGTTTCCCTGCTAAAAGGGAAAATCCGCGTTTTCTCCAATTAAAACTGGGAAATCCATGTTTTCTCCATTTTTCTGTGGAAAACGGAAAACCCGGATCCCTGCTCAATATATATAGACAACACTGCAAGATTTCTTTCATACTTTAGTCCCTAAATTATATCATACCATTCATGTTTTGAGCAAAGTCCCTACAGAAGCCAACAGGAAGAAATTCTATCGAAATCTGAAAACACAATATGCCCAGATGTGCTTCAAACATTGACTGCAAGAATCAACTGCAAGGACAAGAGGGTTCAATTCCCAAAGCTCAAACAATCCAGTCACTGTGACTGGATGTCTATGGAAGTAAACAGCAGCCAGTAGGAACTGGAATGATTCCATCAACTCACTTATACCCAAGTCCCTAAAAAGATCTTCAAATCGGGTAACAACTTCAAAGAATAAGCAAGACCACCAAGAATGATTTAAGTTAGCTTCTCGGACAATTCAGAACCTGCCCCATACTCCTTAAGTGTATTTACTTCCATAAAAGCATAAGGGCCAACATCAAATAGAATTCCTTTGTTTATTTTATTGTTCACCGCTGCTTCTTTTTTTTGCATCATCATATATTATGTTCTGTTTTAATTTTGTGTAAACTGGTAGAATGGATCACCTCTCATTGTATGCTTTTAGTAAAATAATAAATAATATATGATTATATTATATATAATGTTTTTGTTAACTTTACTGTATTAGCAAAAGTGGTAAATAAACAGTGCACACACCCACTACCAACCTGGCCCTGATCTTCCCAGATTATGTATAGGTGAAAGGCTAAGAGAGAGTACAGTTCTTATGCTGCAGCTCCCATGTATGCATGAGCCTGCAGTGATAAGAGTAAACTAAATTGCTGCAACTTTGTTCACTTTTACATGTGCTCCAACGCATTCTTACTAGAAAATGTAGAAGCCAACTCAATTCTACTGGAGCATTCTAATCCGAAGGCTCAAATGTGCTGCAGCGTCTCATGTATTCAGCACCTTGTGTTTCAAAATGGCGGTGGGGCTGCTTTAACTACAGCTCATCAAACAAGCTTTAGTTAAAGCACTCTTGCCACCTTCTGAAATGTGGGACACTGAATACATGAGACACTGAGGGCATTTTAATTAGAGACGCTTTAAGGAACCGCTCTAATTAAAATGTGCCCCACCCCCCTCATTCCGTCCCATTCCAGAGCACATGTATAGGCACCCTTTATGGAGGAAACAGGGTTAAGGTTGAGGAGGTTTAACTGCACGTTCATTGCTATAGGCTCATAAGCATATAACAATTACAGCTGCTAGGTTCCAAGCAGCAAGTCCCTCTCCCCTTTTTAAACTTAACCCTACCTCTCAATCAGTTAACCAATTTGTTTTTCTCTCTCCTACCCACCTTGCCTCTCCCATTAGTATCACCACCTTCTCCTTCCCCCTTCCCTACCCTTCATATTCTAATCACTGCTTTCTATGTAGAAGCTGTGCTTTCAGCACTACCTTCACAACATCTCAAATAGTAAGATACAGCTTCTGAAAGCTTATGCATCACTGATTTAGTTAATCCATAAGAGGCAAATCTACTCTGTCTTCAATCTTAAATAGTTTTTCCAAATGTCATTAGTCAATGTTCTGAAAACTGCATAAATATTCAGGAGTGTTTATCACACAAAACAATACCAACTATAAGCAATCCTGCTTCAAAGAACTCAGACTCCCCAATTATTTTTGGACAACGACTATATTTTTCCTAGGCATTCCTGGACTTTTGAATGGACTTTGACTGGGATATGCCAGTGCTCCTGCTGGGACTTAAACCCAGAGTTTCCTGGCTAGAGGGTCTTGCTCCTCTGCTCAGGGTCAGACCAATCACCATATTTGGGGTCAGAAAGGAATTTTACCCCATGCCTTCTTCTCAACAGGCAATGTGGTGGCCTTTCTGGGAACTCTCTAGAATTTTGTAACAACCTTTGTAGCAGCAGGATGTTGGCCACTGTGATTCCCCTGCTTTACCTGTGTCAACTTAGGGTGTAATATCTTGGGTGTCACGTCAGTGCTGACTGTGTACTTTTGATAAAAGGTTAAAAATAATGGATTTGTATGGGATGGTTTGATAGGGAAAATTCTGCCTCAAGCACACAGTTTGACCAGATGACCCCTCAAGGTCCCTTCCAGCCCTACTTCTCTATAAATATATGATTTTTAGTCCCAGGCACTGATGCGGATCAGACAAAACAGAAGCCAAGTGTTATTTATAGGCTTAGTTTGGACCTTTAAAATTCAACCTGCTGGTCCTGGCAGAGGATCCTATAATCCCTATGCTCAATCTGCCATAATTCTTGTCCCAAGATCACACAATGGCCATGTACAGACATTCAGTTTCTACCAGGAAAATCATTGTTCTCCTGGTAAAAACCAAAAGTGTACACATGTTCATGCCCTTTCTCCTGGACAAAAAATGGCAGTTCTGGGAGAAATATGAGCCACCTCTAACCAAGGAGAAGTTGGTCCTGGAAAAGTTTCTTCTGGGACAAGGACCATTTGTACTATGTCTCCTGGTTTAACTCCTTCTAGTGACCAGAAGAAATGGAGATGAGGTGCCAATCTTCAATCTTCCTGACACCAAGGTCACACCAGTCTGAAGAAGGCATGGGGAAGCAGCTGCTCCTGCCCCTACCACAGAGCAGGAGGGGAGAGGAGGAGAAGTTGTCAGCTACTCCCTGCTGGCTTCTCACACTTTAGGGGGATTGCAGGACTGCTTCCTCTCTTCCTCTCCTCAGCACCTGGGCACAAGAGTCCAGTAGATTTCATAGATTTCATAGACATTAGGACTGGAAGGGACCTCAGAAGATCATTGAGTCCAGCCCCCCACCCAAAGGGCAGGAAGTCAGCTCAGGTCATAGGACGATAAGCATAGCAAGATAAGCATCCAATTTCCTCTTGAAGGTGCTTAATGTAGGTGCTTGAACCACCTCCAATGGCAGGCCGTTCCAGACCTTGGGGGCTTGGACAGTAAAGAAATTCTTCCTTATGTCCAGCCTGAAAC